TCTTCCTTGGTTGAAATTTCTTCTTGGCCCTTACTTCTCTGTTCTTTGTGACATCTCCTCTCTCCCTCTGTAAGGTGGTGGATGGCTCACTAGGTGCTGTTAGAGCCAACCCTTCTGCAATATATTTGTTCACATAGATCTCTGCCCTTAAAGCCCGTGCTAGAGCTTCACTGTAGGTATGAGGGGGCTCAACTCCTGTCATTACATCTCGAGCAATATCTGATCTCAACCCTTGCACAAACTTGTCTCTCCTTAACTCAGGTGTATACACTATTCCGGTGCAAAGCGAGCAAGGAATTAACTTACCGAATATTCCTTTACAGTACTAGTCCCCTGCTTCAAGTGAATAACTCTGGACTTTCTCATGTACTCGATCTTCTGTTCGGTACTCAGCCTCAGACAACTTTCTGAATTTCTCCAGGTCATCGAGGCTATATCGTGAGTCTCTTCCATTAATTCCCACCATATGCGGCATCTCCCTTAAACAAGAAACTAGCATATCTAATCCTCTCTCTATCATTTAGGGAAACAGTGCCGCCGTCCGCTCTACGGACTTAAACCACTCCTCTGCCTAGCGGGTCCTTGTACCATTAATGCTGGCGGTTGATGCTGATTTACAAGCCCCTGAATCGGATCACCAATCTGTACTGGCTGAGGTACCGGCCCTTCTTACTCTTGTCTTGGAGGCGGTACTCTACTGGGAGTTTCGGTTCTCTCCTGAACAACTCTTCCCTGACTCTCCGCTAAAACTTGTTGTACAATGGCCGAATCCTCGTCTCATCAAGGGTAGGGGGAGTCAATTCTGTGGGTTGGAGGATTCTCCCTCATTCATCACACCTTACCCTTCCTCCTGTTACTACGTCTCATCTACAAAACAACCATACTTGATCAATTCAAAAGAACACTTAAAGTAAGAAAGAATTAACTTACACAGTCGGCTATCGCGTCATAGCGAGAGAATGGCACATTGTCAAATCCCAAAAATCTCGCTCTGATACCAAAAATGTAATAGCCACTACTCATAATGAAAACATACAAAATAATATAAAGATTGGGCCCAAAATTTTCTTTCTATTATAAATAATATAATATATTTATATATATTATATATATTCTTTACAAACATATACATTTTTTACACAAACTTATAATGTGACAAAGGTATTAAAACATGCTGGACAGTGTAACCGCTCCCCTCGCGTGTCGACGTCCATCCGACTGCGTTCTCACCTGGATCCTGCAAAATATAGGAAAACAACGGGTGAGCACTAAAATAATGCTCAGTAAGTAAATCTTCTACTCATCTATCCCCGTAACTCCTCTCTCTATCGTTCTTTCCTTACGACTTCTCATTCAATTTCTCTTGGTACTTCTCTCTCTCTTTCTCTTTCACTTAGAACGCTTTTCTATTACCTCTCTTTAGTAAGTCACGACCCCATCTTACCGGGGCACGGCCGGGACTCACTCCCACTCTACTGACCTCTACTCATTCTAGCCGATCGGACTCGGTTATGCATGGATTCGGAACCCTTGGCCATGGTGAGTGTATAATCTCTCTCTCGAGTACTCGGGTATAGCCCTCATCCGCATGCACTCTCACGGGCTACACCACTTCTCTATCTGATACTCGTGCCGCTCTCTCAATGCGGCGTACATGCGGGAATACCTACCCATTACTCACGAGTTCCCCATCACACAACCTACTCTATTCTCTTCTCTTAACCTCTTAAAGTAGCTTATACTCAAATTCTCTACTAAGTCTCAAGCTACTTCTTAAGTGTATAACTACTCATGCTCACTAATGCACTAATGAAATGCCAAATACAAGATTTCTTCAAAACATTTATTCTGCACAATCACACTAAAAAGGCCATAACTTTCGTTATATACCTCATTGCTACGTTTTGGTCTCGTTTTAAAGCTTAGAACAGGGCTATAACTTCCATGTTTTGGTCTCAGCCCAGTTCAGTCCGTAAGATACCCAAAAATTACTTAGAAAGTTACGGCATGACAGGCCAATTTCACTTAGGCATTTCATCAGCAACTCATGTGTATATAACACTACTAAATTACTACTATACTTCATTCTCTACCATCCAATTGGGAAAAACTCCCTCAAATACTCATAATCCCTGTCAAGAAAAGCACTTCAAATCTGTTTACAAAACACTCTCAACTTCATCTCAAATTCCATTCTCAATACACATTAAAACACTTCTCATACATGGAATCTATCCAACAACTACAAAATAGCTACTCATCTTAACTCAATTTTCTCATCAATCATACTACATACTGATCATGCATACATCTCTACTCAAAGCTTATTCAAAACTCAAGTTGGTTGGATTTACTTGCCTTGTCAAAAGGTAACTTCTTTACACTTTTCCTTTCCTTTGTTGTCTTGTCTCTTCTCTACAATTCAAAACAACAACAAGAACACCAAATAAGACTTCACTATAAACCATAAAACTCACATCTAAAGCATGAAATCCTGCCAATTAGGATGCTTTAGATGAAATCTCTACTCAAAATTACTCAAAAGCTCTCTTAAATCCCTTAGAAATCTTGGAAGATTGGATGGAGAAATTGAGAGAAAGTAGGCAAATGGAAGAGGCGGTGGAATGAATGGACTAAAGGGTTTCTCTACACTCTAACTCTTTTTAGCTCATATTAAAAGCATCATTTCCCATTTTGCCCTTGCCCTTTCTTAGAAATTCCATCTATATCCTTTAATTCTTTTCAAATACACCCCCCATCCAAACACAATCTCTACTAAATTTCCTTTCATTTTACTCCCCACTTTTCCTACTAATTAGGGGTAGAATGGTCATTGTGCCTAAAAAGAAGAATTCTCTAGAAAACTCAAGAAACTTTGTATTAGGCTCGTCGCCGCGGCGAAGCACTTTCCGTCGCCTCGGCGAAACAGGGCAGAACCTACCCGTGGGTGCAACTCCTCCTCGCCGCGGCGAAGCTTCTTCTTCGCCCCGGCGAAGATTGGATTTCCAAATTTCACCAAAATTCAACCAATTCAAGGCAACCATTCAACAAACTCAACATACAAACTCAATTGAAACTGATATAGTAAACTTTTAACTAATACAGCAAATCTTAAATACGTACCTCAAGTGGGATATTACAATGGCCTAAATAGATCTCTTAGGCTGAGTTTTGGTTTAATACAACATTCAATGGCTCCACAGGTATTACCCCTGTTAAAGCACTTTATGGTCGAGATCCCCCCACTCTTCTTAAGTTTTCAGATCATGGGTCAACTATCGATGAAGTGAACTGCCAATTGCAAGCTCGCAATGTCATATTAATTGAGTTACAGGAGAATCTCCTCAAGGCTCAAGGCCGAATGAAAAGTTATGCAGATGCAAAGAGAAAGGAAGTTCAACTGGAAGTGAGAGATTCAGTTTACCTTAAGTTGCAACCCTACCGCCTTCGCTCTTTAGCTCGTTGGAGCAATGAGAAACTAAGCCGCCGATTTTATGGCCCTTTTGAAGTTACAGAAAAGATTGGACTAGTGGCTTATCACTTGAATCTGCCCCCCATAGCATGCATCCATGATGTTTTCCATATGTCACAACTCAAGAAAACAAAGTACCCACCACCTATTGCCCAACCTCTTCCAACAGCGTTGGATGAAGATCTGGTGTTGAGGGTCGAGCCGGAGGAGGTTGTCCGCACAAGAAAACTGCTCAATGGTACCTTGGAAGTCTTAATCAAATGGAAAGGCCTACCCACCTATGAGAATACCTGGGAGGAATTCACCTCCATTGATAGCCAATTTCCTTTATTCCACCTTGGGGACAAGATGGCTCTCCTTGAGGAGGGTAATGATGAGACCCCTTTAGTGCACGTCTTCAGCAGAAAGAATAAGAGAGGGAATAGAGGATACATGACACTTTACTGCACACTCAGCATTGGATAGGTGGCATCTTCAGAGTGGGTTTGACATAATTCTGTTAGAGTGGGAATGGTGCATGAAAAGGGTGACAGTGAATAATTGGGTATCAAACAAAAAAAAAAAAAAGTTAAAGGAATTTGGGTTGGGGACGTACTGGCCCTTGAAGCCAGCTGGCTGTCCTTGCTAATTTTTTCTTTCTTTATTTTTGTTCTCTTTTGTCGATTTGCTTATTGTCTATTATTGTTCATTCTCTGGATTGTACTTGGCATATTTGTTGAGTAGTGAACTGGTGATTATTGGAATATAATTAATATTGCAGAAATATTTCTGAAAGTCTGGATTGATTTGTTGCGTTTGTTGTTGAGTTGACTGAGTATTCTGGTATTTGAAGTGCATGAATAGTTGTTGCAGGTGGAGATAGAAGGAGGGTTCTATCATTCTCCTCTCTCTTTACACATGCACACACATGCAGAGGCCAGAGATCTGATTTCAACTTATTAAATGACATATACAAGTTGGAAACTAAACCGACTTTGTCTACATATTTGAATTTCCGTAATACTAATTAAGAGAGCCTTCTAGCTAGTGTTAATGACCTTGAGCTTTTAAGAAACCATCGTTTCTGACCTGAGTTCTTGAGCATGTAATATTTCTATTTTCTATGTGAAATCCCTCAAAATATGAAAGTATCCAGAAATAACAGAAAAGTAAAAAAGAAAAGAGGTTGCAAACGAGTTATATGAAGTTCAAATTAAAATGTGTTGAAAATAGCCACCTACACAAGCTTTACTTCTCTTGAAGGCCTGTCAATCATTACTGTTCTCTGTCTCACCAAAGCCTCACAAAATATGATGGCAAAGAAAATTGAAATGTCTATAAGATCAATTTTTAATCTAAAGTAAGTCACAGTTAGTCAATTTCATTATGATAGGAAACTGTCCTGATATGTTACAAAAGAATTACATGAAAATGCATCTTACTTAGGACAAATAGTAGCCCAAATCAATAATTTCATATAATATAATGGTTGAGATTAGACAGTAGCAATAATGTTATTTTGAAGTCATAAATAACATAAATTATGTACCGGAAGCCAGCAAGAAGCCATAGTTACTCCCAAAGCAATAAGTGATATAACAAAGCAGGGCAAGAAGTATGGAAACCTGCATAAATCTCATGTTTCAGAATACCATTATACTTTTAACATCTTACAGAAAGAAAATGAAAAATAATAAAAAGATAGGAGTTAAAGTTCACTTACTTCCCAAATAAAGATTCTTTAGAGAATATGTTTGGATACTTATCTGCTGGCTGAATAATGAAAATTATCCCAAAAGATAAGTACCATGCTTTGCGAACAGAAAACAAAATGAAAAGGACATGGGCACATGGACTTGGTGGGGTATGGGGATGTTAACAATAGATAGATTAAAATGAGATTGGAGAAGATACTTGGACAACTAGGGAAAAATCCTGAATGGTGGACATTTCTTAAGGATTACAAATTACTTGAAAATGGAATATTTTTCAATAATAAAGGAGAAAGGAAATATTATCTACAAGATGTATTTACCGGCACAAGAAGCCAAAAATATAAGTACCTGAGCCAAACAACCACCCACTGCTGGGCCCATGATGAGTCCCATGCCCCATGCTGTACTCACCTGAAATTAGATTACAGTTGTCAGCTCCGGCACCATAGTAAAATACTTTTATTCATAGAGAAATAAGCTTGCAGCTGACAGTCCTAAAGCTTGGTGTTCTTCACGCATAACTTCAGTTGCATATGCCTGGTAATGATAGAAGTTACGCACCGCCACTGGAATTAAGTGGAACACGAGTAAACAAAGAATCTCATAGAATAGAAACTTTCCATACCATTATCGTTCCAAGTAAACCATTCATACTCCCAAGAAAAAATCTTGTGATGACAGCCATCCAAAAGTTTATACTAAGCCCAAAGAGAGTGCTCAAAACAACCCTATGACAAATTTTAAGCCAGATAATTATGAAAATTTTGTACATAAGGGGAGCATTTGAATCATATAATGTTTTTTTTATCTTAGTAATAAGATTACCGGAAAGAAATATTACATTGTAGATTACTGGGTTTAAATTATTATTGTGCTTGGTTCAATTGAGATGTATTAATAATTAATGTGCTTGGTTGGCAGTAATACAGATGTCCTTAAATACCTTTTTTCTAGAATGCCATTGGGATGATTACTTGTATACCTAATTAATCTGTTTGGTTGGCTGTAACAGCAGATGTCTTGATTACATTTTACTAAAATGCTCTTTAGATGATTACTGAGCATAAAGAATTAACTTGTTTGGTTAATAAAATAAATGATCAATTAACAAAATTCTTTTTCTTATATTTTAGCCAAGTATTTTATTGTTAAGTTATTTATTGAAAAATTTACACAGACTATTGAAACTCCAAAAAAAACCTATTGTATTTTCTGTTGGGTATACATTCAACACCTGACCCTAGTATTGCAACAAATATAGTTGTCATCTCCCAATTTAAAACTCTATCTAAAACTCTGATTTTTGTATTACCACAAATTATAGTTCGTACATGTTCATTTCTACTTTAGTTCAATTGAAGCATTTTTTTTTTCAAGGCAAAAGAAAAATTGTATTTTTTTGGTTTACACCATGGTTGGAATTTAAAAGCAAGTTTCCAAATTTGAGGAAATTTGTTAACTTTTTCCACTTATCCTAGGCCGAAACTATGTGTGAAAAGTGTGAGAATTATTGGTACATTTGTCATATCACATATTTTGGAGTACCTGTGCATTTGCATTATGCTAAATCCAAGCAATGTACCAATAAATTAACTACAAGTTGAATAACGATGCTCTTTAAACCTGTGAACCAATAATAATACATAATTTGGCATGTTGCAACAGTAAACATAATCACCACCATTTTTTAAGTGAACTCAATTTCACATCCGCAAATACTAATTACACAATACTCAATACACAATAATCATACATAAATGAATAAAACGCAGCCTATGATACTCAACTTCACACAACAGTTTGTCACGGAAGGTTGTAAATTCAGCTAGTGTAAACCAATCATGCGTCATATGTGAAGAATAAAAATCAACAACAATAACCCACATATTATAATTGAAGAGACAATAAACAAATCAACCTAATCAATTAAAAGACTGGAGTACTTACAAAGTAAGGATACCCGTCGTTGATTGAAAAATCTTCTAGGGCAGCATCCACAAACTTGGTTATATAATACAGTACGAAATATCTGCAATCCATGTGGTTTTGTTGTTGAGGGACCTGGTGAGTGCATTTATTGGTCACAACAAATACATGAAATACTAAACATATCAACCACTAATTACCATCAACCAACACAATATACTGTTTTATCACCTTAGGCACTAGCAAAGGCAGTTTCTCAACCAATGCTGGATGCTTGGGCATTGTTCCTGATTCATAAATATCCCTCACAAACCTGCATAATTAAGCTTGGACAATTTGAAACCCAATCCAATACCACATCTCCAACAATACAATTTCATCATGTGCTCAAATGTGCTTGCAAATAATTGTGAAATAATCAAAGTTTACCGTCGAATCAGAGGTTGCAGCATCTTTCCGTCTTCTAATCCAAGCGAATCAAGCAGCACTATGCATCAAGTTTTAATTTCCAAGTTTACATCTCCACCAAAGTTGCACAAAATCAGTAAACTCCAATGACCCCTATCAGCATAATTTATGCATATTATCAATGTCAACTCTTAAGCAACCGAAATCAACCCATGTCCGCATTTGGTAAGTATAAAACAAATGCCTACAACCACAATATCAAAATACTCACCAGAGGACTACAAGAATGAACACATATTTCTTTGAGAATATGTTCAATTTGTCAATCCAGTTCAGCACGTTCCTTTTGTACACTTCTTCTGTGTACATAAAAAACCACATGCAGTCCATGGTGATGAAATTGCGCAAGTTGTCTCCTTTAAAACTCCTCCACAAGTTCCTGCAGATCACTAAATATGTAGTCCATCATATGAGGTAAACGTGTTATGTAAATATGGAGTGAAGCATGTAAATTGTAAAACAGTTTTGTACCCCATGTGGAGGTCAAACATACTGCTGCTCAACATCCCCCCTCCCCTTCTGTTTGCCAATTGCCTACTTGACCTTCGTTGATTTGTGGCACCTACATATGTTCATCATTCATTTACATTAGCAAACAATTCCATACATCTTTCATAACTGAAAGCATTAGTCAGTTTACGAGTTGCAAGGCTGGGTACCTTTGCATTTGCTGCCCTTTAAGGCTGAAGGAATCTCCTGATTTTCTTCATGTACCAAATGACTGGTCCTGCCTACATATGCACATCAATCAATTATGAGCTATGTTAATAAGCATTATTCCCAACCATACAACAAATTGACTCCATAACTATCCAATCGTAATACCTTTCACATTGCTATCTGTACAAACTGTGTGGCTCTCTTGACATTATTCACGAACTTTTGTGCTTTTTGTCGTCACTACTGGGCAACGTGATGGTCCTCCCATCGTTCCTGCACACCAACCCACAAAACAAAACACATTAAAGAGGGAGAGAAAACAAAAATTATAGAACTGACACTTTATAAATGCATGTATACCTTGACCGGACTTCCTTAGTGACCTAAATGTTAGTTTCCATAAGTAAATCAAAATGCCACATTCACCATACTAAGACAACAAACATTAAACGTACATACATGTAGACATCCTTTTATACATCATTACCAGAGTTGAGAGTTTTTTACATTCCATATTAGTGATTCGTACCTTCCCATAGTAACTACAAACATAGACCATTACCATCTAATTACTAGACCGACATGGTTTTCACAAAAACATAACAAAAGACATTATCTTGTATGTTGTTAGAATATAGGCAAAATATGGGAATACAACCACTATGTTAGCTCTCTAATAACCCTTTGCACAAAAATAAAACCCATTACAAGACTTCACTAGAAATCAAATGTTGGTCGGTACTCATTACTTGCTCCAAGCTACATATTCACAAATTCTCTTTACACATGCATTGGTAACCTAAACAAGATATCTATCTTGTGAGGTTCCTTGCAAATCTCCGTGGTGGCTGTTCCATCCAATTGAGAAATGATGGAATACACCTGCTCTTTATGGTCTTTCTCTTGGGTCTTCTTCTTGAAGTAGTCAGCAATACCCTTCAGCTCAACTCAGGTCCCAGCCAAGGTAGTCTCAAACCTGCCCAATGTGGCGTGCCACTCTGTTGCTTTTCCACCATCTTTTTTCCTCCTCTTACTGCTGACCGCAACTTTGCTTTGACTAGCAGCGACCGCCTGACAAGTAGAATCAACCACATCATCCTTTGACGAGCAGATCGAGATCTACATCAACATCGACATCGATGTCCATCTGTTCATCATTGTTGTCAGTACTGTCACTATCCAAATCCTCAACTAGAGGTGGAAAAGTAACCCGCTCGGCCCGATCGGACCCAGCCCGCAGCGGGTTACTTCTTTTGGCGGGTTGGTCCTAACCCGCCCGCCAACAAAGGCAGGCCGGGTTAGGCCCGCCATTTTTGGGGTAATGGCTAGCCCAACCCGGCCTGCCAACCCTAACTCGCCGGGTTAGGCTGCGGGTCTGGCCGGGTTAACCCTATTTTTTGATTTTTTTTTTGTTTTATTTAGTTAACTTTTCAAATAAATAATTAACGATTTATAAATAAATAAATGTAATTGCTTTTAGTTAACTTTTCAAATATCAATAATTCAATTAAATTAATTTTTTTTTTTATTAACATTTCAAATATTAATTCAATTTTAATACAATAAAATTGTAATATAAGAAAAATTAGATTTATTCATTCAATTGATGAAACTTTAGCATAAGAATGAATTATATTTTATACAAGACATGGAAATTTAAGAATAAGACTTCAGTATTTAATTTTTTTTATATTTTACGTACCATAAAAAATAATAATAACAATGTGTCAAATATTACGAAGTTTTATACATTTTAATATTTATGATTTAGAAATATAGTTTAATATTATTGTGTAAAATTATTTGCAAGAGTTCAATCATAATAGTTTAATTAAAAGAATTAAAAAAATGGGGGAAACTTGAAAGAAATAATTAATTTTTAATTTTTTTAATTTTTTTTGGGCCAACCTGCCCGGTTGGCTATTGTAAACAAATAGCAACCTGCTGGGTTGGCGGGTTGCCATATAGCAACCCGCCCCACCTGGGGGTTGTATGCGGGTTGAACCCTCTCTAATGCGGGCCGGGTTAGGGTTGACTCGCCTAACTCGACCCATTTGTTCCACCTCTATCCTCAACAGCATCAGCTGTTGTCTCTGCACCAGCTCCATTGGCCCTGTCTTTGTCATAGATGGTGACAAAGGAATCATAGTACACCCATGGTTTGTGTTGCAGTGCTCTTGCAAAAGGATGACTCTACAAAAACGTTAATCATCATAAGATATGCGGCATTTGTATGAGTACATATAAACATGAAGTTCAGAATTTAAAATGTACACAAATAAACCAACAGAAGCATACTTACCTGAACCCATTCATCAAAGACATCCTTGGTACATGTAATGCATTTCTCCTCATCATTCCACCCGAAGCTGCTACCTTTCTCAAACATCTCGTTCATTGCATTATATTGCCTCTTCAACATCTTCACCCTCGAGTCAATATGTGGTTGCGCTTTCAGATCGCAATGAGGAAGCTTTTCCCACATCATTTTTTAGACCTCAGCTAGGTAACCGCATTTGAACCCCCATTCAGTTCTCCAAAGTGGCTGCTATTTGAGGTCTAGCAGACACTCCACCAACATAGCGTCCTCATTTTTTGTCCACTGCCGTTTACTTCCCTTAGCCTTTGCCTTGCCCTTTCTGCTCTTATTCATAGGCACAAGGTTGTCATGCATGCGAATGCTCTTGTCAGACTCATGGGACCGCAATGCTGACCTGTCCATATTGCTGAAACAAAACAAAAAAGGGCAGATTAGTGATATTGGGGAAAAAAATCAGGTTACAACTTCGTTTATACACAGTGTCCGAGCTACTGATATGCGCAATATTAATAATTTTAAGTAAATAAGCAAGAATAATACATGAACAGGATCAATTAACTTTCAACCATCCACATGACAATAAATGTAAGTCGATGTACAGGTCCACTAACAAAGCATCTGTGTTTGGGTTCATTCATACATGGCAAATCAGAAAAGATAGAAATTTAAAAAGTCACAACACTACACATAAACTAAACACAAGCACAATCATTCATTCCGCGCAGCCATCCAAGTATTGAACATTTCAGCCGCCAAATTGTCTCTAAATGCAGCCCACGCGGCACTAGGCTCAACGTGCCTGATCAATTCTCCATCGTCATCCTCTTGCCCTTCACCGTTCACCTCTTCTTGAAGATCTACTTCAATTGGGTCAATGGGCAACTCAGACCTTATGAAATTGTGCAAAAGACAACATGGAGTAATGATTCTACATTGAGTTTTGATGGGATAGTAAGATGTGTCCTTCAATATTCCCCATCAAGCTTTCAGGATACTGAAACATCGCTCAATACAATTTCTTGCTTGAGAGTGTTTCATGTTGAAAAATTCTTGTGGTGATGCCGGTTGGTGACCTTGTCACCATTCACTCATATGATATCGTTGTCCTTGATAAGGGGCCAAAAACCTTTCCCCGTTAGTGTATCCACCATCGCACAAATAGTATTGCCCTAAAATAAACAATTTCAAGTCAATAACAATTACTAAGTGCACTATTATGACAGACCCTAACATTAAAAATACAATTTATTTTGTTATATTACCTTGGGGGACCTTTAATCCATTTCTCCTAATAATGGCATCCCTAAGAACTCTACCATCTGCAGTGGAACCTTCCCACCCAGGGAGGACATATATAAACTGCATGTCAGGTGTGCATACACCAAGGACATTAGTTGCGATTTCACTTTTCCTTGACCGGTACCTAGGTATATCGTCAGCCGACACGTGAACCTTTATGTATGTTCCATCTAAGGCTCCCAAACAGTTCTAACACAGAACAACAAAAATATTTCAGAGAAAACACTAAGTCTAGTTTTAATAAGCTACTGAACTAGATGTGCTTCCTAAACCTAGTGATTAGATTGTACCTTGAACCATTTCCACCACTCATCGGTTGAGTTCTCAGGAATGGCCTCTAGTTTTTTAAACAGCAGGGTATGTAACCTTAACACGGCGTTCAGGACTAAGTGAAAATTGCTGCTTATCATCTCAGTGGATCTACGCATTTGACATTTCATTACTCTGGTCTTTTGGTTATGGGCAAGGATGTGAAGAAAGGTCCCAACTAATTCTTCTATGGATGAATGATGGGTTGATTTTAACTTGCCATGTATAGTAAGTAAATTACATAATCTGCGAAATAGAGCCCTATTCATCCTACAGCTCTCAAAACATTACTCATCACTTTGGAAAAACATGGTGTGTAAATTGAACGACCTAACCTTAAACCTAGACGCAGGCTCACTAGCATATGATATAGCAGCCCTATGTCTACCCCGTATATTAAGTGCATTAGCCAACCCAAGAAGGACGAGCATGGTGTACATGGTTTCCAACATGTCCAAATGGAAGACTAGAAGGGCAACCAAGTGTATCTTCTGCCTGACTGTTAAACGAGCCATAGCTGTTTCACATAATTCATGGATCAAAGCATAATGAAGTCAATCAAGCATGAACAAGTCCTTAAACCCAAAACAGGCAATTGTATATGGAAGAAATCAAACTGAATATGAAACCCTAAACAACATAAACACCATAATTTAATAATATCACCAGCGAAAAAAATTCATCTCAAACACTCATACAATTCTCAACGTCCCACACATAAAAATTTCTCATCCATCACACAAACCAACATAAACATCACAAAAATTTCACATCAATCCCTCAAAACTGTCTTCTTTAGCAATTCAATTGGTAACATAATCTGTAGGGTTAATTTTTACCGTAGATATTTCATTTAACTGACCTATAATTCGACGTTCAAAAATCCAAAATTTGTTACCGCTTTGGTCGATTTTAGCAATTGCAATTTTATTAACTTAATCAAATCTTGATTAGGGTTCCTCCTTCAAAATTGTTATTGGTTGGATAGTGGTTGTCTCCTTCAGTTATTTCCCAACAAAATATTAAACAAGGAAAGGCTAGTATTTTTTACCAATATGATCCATATACCCTTATGGCTGGTTTTTGTATGCCTTTTTCAATATGATCCACAAAAACCACCAAAATAATGACGATATTTAGAATGCAAAACTAGGGTATATGATCCGCTTCAACATACAGAGTAGCAACCACATCAATAAGTGAACACGAAAGGACAAATGCATCAACATCAATTAGTGTATCCAAATAAATCACTAGCTACTAGAAAAAACCCCTTACATTGACCAACCATATATCTCTGAGGAAAGAAAAATGGCCAAGAAACAATTACCTTAAACCTCTCTATGTTAGTGGACCAATGACGGTTTTCAAAGAGTTGTCTTCTGGGGAGCAAACAGAGGGTGACGAAGAGCCGACGTTGCTGCGGTGAAGATAGTGGACCAACGACAAAAAAAAAAATGGACAAGTTAGGGTTTACAGTTGCAATCCAAACAAATAACACAACATTCAAAGGAAAGAGGGCAAACAACTTACCGGAAATAGTGATCGGACTGACGAACGAGATCGACGAGAAGAAGACTCCACCGACGGCAAACAAGTTTTAGCACAGAGAACTGGGAACGAAATCGTGCGTGTTGTGCGATTTAGAAATTTTTTTTTTCTTTTATCTTGTAGTTTTAATGAAGTTCAAGGGCATATTGGTCACAATATGCAAATATCTTAGGATAATATGGGTACACCAATATTCGTGGCATTTCTAAAATAAATGATAAAAAGCAGGGTAGTTTCATTCAGAAAATAAAAAACCTGAGGACAAATACTTCTGTTTGTGCAAATTGGCTTTTTTGTAATTATTAATAAACCAAAGGATATTTTCGTTTGCATAATCCACTGTTTAGGGGCAAGATTGGACAAAAATTATGATTACCAGAGTAATGTTTTAATATCAGCCCCCCATCAGGTAATATTATTCCCAACAATTTACCCCATTTTTGGCACTGTTTGTCATCTTATTTTCCGGTAATGTTTTTGTACAAAAATTTCAAACACGGTTATCTGCTCAATTAAACAAATATTACCCATGTTAAAAAATTTCAACCCGATCCAAATGGGCTCAAGATGTCTGAAATAAAAAAAATTCCAGAATTAATTGCTAATTATAACTATCAAAATTTGACAGGAAACCAACAGTTACTAACACTGAGATGGTCCCAGATAATATTACGGGTTTTCGACCATAGTGGTCAGCCACCACTCCCCATAAGACATATGTTAAAGCTCTGCCAATCATGAATGAAGACCCTTCAAGGTATTAAGAGGTTTGTTAGGATTAATTTTCAGAAGCTGAAATCTGATGAATAAGCATATCTATATTAGAATACACCATCATTAAAGAGGAAATATAGAAGATACACTCACCCACAAAGCCAGCATAGTAGCCAATATCTTCCTCCCTTTTTTGCAATAATCTGAAATTAAATAGAAAATTAATAAAATGTTTTGGAAAGCAAAGCAAGATTCAACAGAATTACAGGTAGGCTTTGTTTCATATTTTTCCCAAGCAATGGAGGCTAAGTAGAAAAATGAGTGTTGATGCGTGATTTTGACACCAACTAATTGACACGTGTGTAACGTTGATTGGTCAAGAGACGCACGTGATTATGGATGAAATGTAGAGTAAATGCAACAATGAGAGCTTTTTAAAGTGGTTCGGATGCTAAGGTAGCAAATCCTACGTCCACTGATAGTTTTTATTAGAATCGTGGGTCAGGTCGCAACAGCGGACTGACTTACAAATAATTAGGGAAAAGTAAATACAAAAGTACAATGATAAGAGAGAGAGAAAGCTAGTTCAGAGTGCAAGAAGGTCGAATCCCTTTAATGAAAAGATCTTTCCTTTTTATAGTGAGATGAGTGCAGATAACCATCATTAAATCTGTGGGTTGGTGCGAATGTCAGGACTAAATCCGGCTTTACGTCACATTGCCCACCTTCCAAGCTAATTTTACGCAATTTGGAGTAGGGAAATGGACACGTGGGAGCTCCACGGTGCCTTGCATGCCTGATGTGCGCTTATCGTTCTGACGGGAGCAGGTCACCCCCATCACGTGATTTCCCACGTCATCCCTTGATTTCCCAAGCATAACAGAAGTCCCCTAGTTTTTAAGGTTTGAGGGTCAAACCTTGGAAACTAAGGCATGCCGCGAGTGGAGGCCCTGACCATTCCGACCTGAATGAAAGAAGCTCGGGATATGACCTTTTGCGAACATGACTTTGCGCAAACTTCGTCCGAACGACCTGACAGCCATTGCCCAAGCGTCCTGACTTCATCGGGCGCTCCTTACTGTGCCTTAGAGATGAAGAACTGATGTGGTCGTTTCTGCGCTGACAGGTGCTCTGCGTGTGTCAGGCGTCTGCCAGGCACATTAAATGCGTTGTGTGTTGACGCGTTACTGCTTTGGCAGAGCGTTAATTGCACGACACACCCGAAACAACAACCCTCATCACAACCATAAATGCGGCGTGGGGCGCATTTAATGCGGAGAGAGAGAAACATCGTTTCGATTCCGAGGGGCGGTAAACGCCGGTTCGTAGTCCATATAAAAGTCCAGATTTTCCAGATGAGGCCGCCAGAATCCCATTTGTCTCGAACGAAAACTCCTTGCAAACCGGAAGCCTTTCTTTTCCGATTGACATCTTTCCTATACCTGAAGCAAGAACCGTTCACGGTCACGTCCCCCAAAAGGTAAGGGTTTTTGCTCCCTTTTTTTTTTTATTATTTGGTGGTACAATGGCGTTGCGTCATCTGATGCTTCATCAGAGGCGCCACAATGGAGTCGGGTTCCTGCCGTGAATGGTGGCTAGAGTCACTGCTAGGTTTTAGGGAATTCGCCCCAAGCCGTCGTACGGGGCGACGTACGATGGCTAAAATGACCTTATGTCTGTCGGTGCTACAGACTGCGGAATGGAACCCTCAGCGTCCAGATCCAAAGAAGTAGCCTGTTCGTCTTCGCGGGATGTTCCCGTGGATGAATCCCTCAAGGTTTTCTCAGTTCTCACCCGACAAGAATTCGATAGGATAAAGAAACAGTTCGGCGTCCGCGCGGAGGTGTTTCTCAACGCCACCCAGTCGTCGCAACATCCTTCCGATGGCCTGGCTGCGATCTTCGAAGAGATCTTCAAGGGTGAGGGGTTGATTCCTCTCCACCCTTTTATTAGGTCGATCCTGGATCACTTCAGGATCGCACCAATGCAATTAACACCAAACGCGTATGTCATCGCTGTTGCGATGTACATCGCGTGCCTTGAGAGTGGCTTGGGCGAGCTAACGGCGGTGGAGCTCGGCTGTTCGTATTACCTCAAAAGGAGTAAGGACAAAGACTTCTATTATTTGTCTCGGCGATCTACCATCGCTGAAGGGATACATAGTTATCCCAGCAACGCGGGGGCCTATGAGATGAAGTTCTTCTTCTTCTGCTATGATGGCTACTGTCGCTTTCAGAAACCAAGTAGGTCCCTCTTCGCTAAATTCATTAACTGTGCGCACGCTTTTTCTAACGACCTGCATTCTTTTGTAGTTAACAAGACGACCAGCCTAAACCTGCTCACCGACCCGGACAGGATCGTGTCTTTTGGAGTTCTCCCTGAAGAAAGTCGGGATGCAAGGAAGCTCATGACAACCGCGAACTTGCGGAAGTACGGTTTTTTCAATGACTAGGCGTCTTTAGAGTCCCCAGAATGTAAGTTGCACACTGATTCCTTTCTGGTCGTGGAATAATTTTTGCTTAGTTACTAATGCACCTTCACGCAGCGACCATGCCTCCGAAAGAATTCGAGCAGCCCCGACGAGCACCATTCAACTTCCCTCGTTCGAGGAAAGAAAGGGAAGCCGAAGCTGCTCGCCTTACAGCAGCACAATCGGTGAGAACTATCGCGCCCTCCCAGTCCCGTCTTGAGCAAGAAACGACCAGGACAGAATAGGTCGCTCAGCCACCTGCTTGCCCGAGGCGGAAGACTCTGGCCCAGCGGTCGAAGAAGAGAAGGCAGAGATCGAATCTGAGGAAGAGCCACTAAGGTTGCGACGGGACGTCAGAAGGAGGTTGGGCAAGGAGCCTGTAGATGAGACGGTTGCTGTCGACAAGGCGAAGGACACACCAGTGCTGGATTCGCTGGGGAACCTGCCTGAATACCTACAACCGATAGTCTACTCTCTGCTTGAGTGTGGGCTATCGGAGTCATATGATGAGTTCTCCGATACGGGCGACGACCTGATGACCACATCGTTCCAGCATCTAAGCAAGGTAAACGAACTGTTCTTAAAGTTTGTTCGCCATTTTCATTCTAACTTCTTGTTCGCAAGCTTTGCTTGCTATGAGGATGTCCATGGAGAAAGCTCGGCTGGGGGTCGCGAAGGGGGCAAATGATCTGAAAGAGGAGATCGCGAAGCTCAAACAGAGCGTGGCGACTGTCGAAGTGGGAAGAACGCAATCGTTTGAGGCGGCGAACAGATACTTGAACCAAAAGGAGGCCGCTATGCGAACAGTTGACTTTCAAAAGGCGGAGCTCGAACGGCGTGTGGACGAAGTAAAAGAGCTTTAGAGGACAACCACTAGGCTCTCCAAGGAAGTCGGGGAGGACCAAGAGCTCCAAACAACCTTAACACGGACCCAGCGAGCAAAACAAGGAAGGGAGGCCTCTGAAAAGGAAAGGCTAGCTCTCGAGGCCGAACTCCAGGAGAGTCGGGAAAAAATTGCTTCCCTAACTGAAGAAATGCGGATCCAGCCAGAGGAGATCGAGGATAAGGCCGCCAACTGGGCGATCGGGTCCATTTATACCTTGAGACCAAAGAACCCAGATCTGGATATGTTTGACCTCCCAAAGGGGTGGCAAGAGACCTTGCAGATTTTGGCGAAGGAAGATGATCAAGCAGTAGCAGCCGCCCGAGGATCCGACCAGGCAGAGGGTTCGGGTCTTGCTTCGAGGATCCCCCCACCGACCAGGCTTAGTGCAATGAGACCGACTCCATAGGGATTAATAGGGTCTTGAACAATTTTTGTACATGAAATACACTGCTTTCAATTGCTGTTCGCTTAATCATATATGAGTGCAGTTTACAATTCAGTTCGTTTTATGTAGGCAATATCACATGCGAATTGTTACAAGCGAACAGGATAATATTTTACAATAAAAAGGAATCTAACAAAATTAAAACCTAATTTGCATTGAAAGCTGAGCTCGGGATTACTGATAGTATGGCTGGAGGTGCTCGGCATTTCAAGCTCGGGGTACTTTGGAACCGTTCAGCCTTTTGAGATGGTAAGTCCCCAGTTTGATCACCTTGTCAACCCGGTACAGACCTTCCCAGTTCGGTCCTAATACTCCCGCGCTTGGCTCCCTGGTTCCGGGGAGAACTTCTTTTAGCACAAGGCCACCGACCTGGAAGTCTCTTCGCTTGACCTTTGAATCAAAGAATCTCTTCGCACGCTGTTGGTGGGCTGCTATCCTTAGCGAAGCTTTGCCGCGGTGTTCCTCGACAAGATCTAGACTCGCTCTCATAAGTGCTTCGTTTTCAACCTTATGGTACAAGTCTCTCCGAAGAGAACCAGTTCCCACCTCTACAGGAATCATTGCTTCGCAGCCATAGGCTAGCGAAAAAGGGGTTTCTGAGGTGGAGGTTCTTGGAATTGTCCTGTACGCCCATAAGACCTCGGGGAGATCGTCGGCCCAATTTCCCTTGGCTGCCCCAAGCTTGGCCTTTAGAGTGTGCTTGATGGTCTTGTTGACAACTTCAACTTGGCCATTTCCTTACGGTCTGGCGACTGAGGCGAATTTTTTATGGATGCCCAGCTCGTCGCAGAACTGCTTGAACTCCTCATTATCGAATTGCTTTCCATTATCCGAGATGAGGGTGTGGGGAATTCCGTAGCGGCACACTATGTTCTTGAAAACGAAGTCTTTCAGCTTTCTGGTCGTGATCGCGGCCAGCGGTTCAGCTTCCACCCATTTTGTGAAATAATCTACTGCGACCACGGCATACTTGACTCCTCCTTTTCCGACTGGCATGGGACCGATAAGGTCGATCCCCCACATGGAAAATGGCCAGGGGCTAGACATCGTTATCAGCTCGTGAGAGAGGGCTCACGGAATGTTCGCGAACCGCTGACACTTGTCACATTTCTTGACAAAATTATGTGTATCTTCTTGGATCCGGGACCAATAATACCCTTGACGAACAACTTTGTTCGCGAGAGATCGAGCAGCTGTGTGATTGCCGCAAATCCCTTCGTGAATTTCCCTTATGATATAGCCTGCTTCTTCACTGGTTACACATCGGAGGAGAGGGGTACTAAATCCTCTCCTGTACAGCTGGTCCCCGATGAGTGTGTAACGAGCAGATCTTGCTCGTAGGACCCTTGCCTCGACCTTGTCATCTGGCAAGGTCCCATCCTTGAGGTATTGGAAAATGGGAGTCATCCAGGAGTCCGGTTGAGTCATATTTACGGCCTGTCCAGTTGAACTGATAGTTGGAACATCGACGAACTGAACAGGAATGCTATCTGGAGCTTCTGAATCCAACGACTAGGCTATCTTTGCTAGGGCATCCGCTATAGAATTGCTATCTCTGGAAATCTGAGTGATTTCAAAGTGTTTGAACGACCCAAGAGCGGTCTTAGCTTCTTTCAGATAGCAGACCATGTTTTCTTCCTTGGCTTGATATTCCCCTAAAATTTGGTTGACGACCAGCATAGAGTCGCTGTAAACGCTGATCGCGGTTGCACCCATTTCTTTGGCAAGTCGCAACCCGGCAAGCAGGGCTTCATACTCAGCCTCATTATTGGTCGCTTTAAACCCGAACCGGAGAATACCATGGATTCGAGTCCCTTCGAGGCTTACAAGGAAAAGACCCACGCCGGCTCTTTTTCTGTTTGATGACCCGTCGACGTAAAGGTTCTAGGTCGACAGGTTCTGAATACTTTCCTGGATGGCTTCGCCAGGCTGTTGCTCGCTTGGAAGATAGGAAAATTCTAAGATGAAGTCAGCAACAGCTTGCCCTTTAATGGTCGACCTAGGCTTATACTTCAGGTCAAACTGGCTTAATTCCATGGCCCATTTGAGTAGTTTACCTGAGGCTTCTAGTTTCTGGAGGACCTGCCTGAGGGGGTAATTAGTCATTACGTGGATCGTATAGGCGTGGAAGTAAGGTCGCAGCTTTCTGGATGAGATCAGCAGAGCAAAGGCTAGTCGCTCCATCTCCGGATACCGCATCTCGGCATCCGTCAGATGCTTGCTCGCAGAGTACACTAGCCATTGCGCCTTTTTCTCTTCCCGTACTAGAGCTGCACTGACCACGAACTGAGAGACGGACAGGTATATGAGCAGGATTTCCTGTGGAAGAGGCTTAGAGAGGAGAGGTGGCTTCCCGAGGTGTTCTTTTATACTCTGGAACGCCTGTTCGCATTCGGGAGTCCATTCGAATTTCTTGTTGGCCTTCCAGACATTGAAAAATGGTAAGTAGCGGTCTATTAGTCTCGATATGAAGCGACTAAGTGCTGCTATTCGCCTATTTATACTCATGACCTGTTTTTTGCTGGTCAGGCTCTCCATATCGAGCAGAGCTTGAATCTTCTCGGGGTTTATTTCTATCCCTCGTTGATTAACCATGTACCCTAGGAACTTTCCTGACGATACCCCGAACGAACACTTGAGAGGGTTCAGCTTCATTCTGTACAGTCAGAGGATGTCAAACATCTCAGCGAGATGTGCAATGTGTTCTGAGGCGACCTGGAATTTGACCAGCATGTCATCCACATAGACCTCCATTGTCTTTCCGATCTAGTCGGAGAACATTCGGTTAAACAGCCGCTGGTAGGTTGCGCCAGCATTCTTGAGGCCGAAAGGCATAACTTTGTAACAGTACAGCCCCCGGTCTGTAATGAAGGACGTATGCTCCTCGTCTGGCCTATACATCGGGATTTGATTGTATCCCGAGTATGCATCCATGAAGCTTAGCAGCTTGTGCCCCGAGGTAGCATCCACGAGCTGGTCGATTCTCGGCAGATGGAAGCTGTCTTTTGGGCAAGCCTTGTTGAAGTCGTTGAAATCAACGTAGGTCCGCCACTTACCGTTTGACTTCTTTACCAGGACCGGGTTGGCGACCCAGGTCGGGTAGAGTGCCTCTCGGATGGACCCATTCCGGAGGAGGTTTTTCACTTCTGATTTTAATGTAGCATACTGCTCCGGATCCATTGTTCTTCTTTTCTGGCGAACCGGTTTGGCCTCACTGTCGATGTTTAACGCATGGCAAATGATGTCCGGGCTGATCTCGACCATATCTGCATGCGACCAAGCAAACACATCGATATTTTCAACCAGGAAGCTTATTAGTTCGGAAGCGAGCTGAGGGTTGAGACAGCTTCCAATTCTTAACACTCGGCTCGGCTCTTTTGGATCAACCAAAATCTCGAAAAGATCTTCAACCGGGCCGCTGGGAGGGATTTCCTGGATTCAAGGATCTATATTATCCTCCGTTGGACCAGGCTGTGGCTCGATCAGGCTGATCGCCATAGCTTGGCGATGCGCACATCGCGAAATGCCCTTTCCTTTGCTTGCCATCTGCACCGCTTTTACGTAGCATTCGCGAGATGCACTTTGCGATCCGCTCACTTCCCCTATCCCCGTTGGAGTTGGGAACTTCATCTTGAGATGGTATATGGAAGTGACTGCCTTAAAGCTTCTCAACAGAGGTCGCCCCAAGATTCCATTGAAGGCCGATGGGCAATCCACGACCAAAAATTTGGTAACCCTAGTCACCTCGTCGTAGTCACCGAGCGTGACTGGGAGCTGGATCGTTCCTTTGGGGATCAGGTGGTCCCTCGTAAAACCATAAAGAGGTATCGAGGCGGGCTTCAGGTCGGCCTCGTCCAGGTTCATTCTTTCAAAAGCGGTCTGAAACAAGATGTTGACAGCGCTTCCGTTGTCCACGAGCATTCTGCAGACATTATGGCACCCTATCAGGGGCGTGATCACCAGGGCGTCGTCATGAGGATGGTGCAGGCGAGCTGCTTCCTTTTCATAGAAGGTGATCGGCTCCTCCTTTCAAGCCTTTTGCGGTCGCTGTGAAGTGTTCATTACCCTGATCGGGTCATGATATGCTTCGCGAGCATACCTTTCCTATGCACCTCGCGTGTTTCCCGCGAGGTGCGAGCCTCCAAAGATTATGTTAACACTACTGTATCTACTGCGATCACGACACTTTTTCTTTTGCTCCCCTTGGTTCTCTTTCGGAGCAGAGTCATCAATATACTCCTTGAAGTGCCCTTTCTTGATGAGCTCTTCGATTGCCTGCTTTAGAGCTCGGCATTCATCGGTGTGATGCCCGTTGTCCCGATGGAAACGATAGTATTTTTTGCTGTTTCTAGCCGTAGTAGGGGTTTTCATGGGTTCCGGCTCACCGAGCAAGCTGGCATCCTCAGATTTGTCAAGAATTGCAGATATGGACACATTCAGCGGAGTGTATTGAACTCTGTCTCGTTCGCGATGAGGAACAGTAGCATAGGACTTTTTGTGCTCATAGCAGGGTTTCTTCCCTTTTCGCTGATCGTCGATGTCTCCTTTGCGATCAATTCTCCTACCTTCCCCTCGACCAGACACACTGCTTGAAGTGCCGTGATCGCGATGGCGGAGTGCCGCCAATGAATTCTCTATTCGGAGATATTTTTCTGCAAGGTTGTAAAATCTGGTGAGGGAAACATCATCCTCAGCCTGTAGTTCTTTCCACAGGTCGGTTTGCGGGTGAACTCTAGCTATTATGAGCATTCGAATGGACTCTTCGGGGGCATGAGCCACCTTGTTGAGTTCCCAGTGGAAACGGTCGATGTAGGATTGTAGGGATTCGTCTCTTTCTTGCCTTATGTTGCTGAGGTAGCTCAAAGGTATCGAAAACTTCCGATTTGCTTGGAAATGCCGTAGGAACTTCGTGCTCATCTGAGGCCACGAACTGATCGATCCCGTTGGGAGCGACCTTAACCACCGCTTGGCATGAGAAGTCAGTGTCACGGCCAAACAACGGCATTTTGCAAGATTCGAAACCTGGTGGAGCTCCATCAGGTCGTTGAACTCATACAAATGATCCTGCGGGTCATGGTTCCCATCAAACGGCCGCATGTCAGGCATTTTGAACCCCGGTGGGAGTGGAGTAGCTAGCACTTCGGGAGAGAAAGGGGATGCAGAGGTGACCTGGGCCTGCTCATTTTGCTGCTCCCTTAACCTATCCAGAGCTTGCTATAGCTCCTCAATTTGTGGTAACGGAGCCAATTGGGGATTGCTTTCACCCATGCGAGTCCGGCCTTCGTGATTACGGTTCAGGAAAGTCCGGAGGTCGGACTCCTCTTCGTCTCGGCTGACATTTTCGGCCACTCTTGACACACGCTGACTGGAGGCGTGTGAAGGCGATGGATGGTGCGGGGTATTTTCACAACCCTCGCGGTCGTACGAACCACCCCGCGAGGTGTAAGGACCACCCACATGATAGCGATCAGGATCGTTCTATTGGCGGTGATAGGAATCATCCCGCCTGACACTTCTGCTTGGGTTCATCTGCGATGTGGCATAGGACAGCTTGGGATTCACTTTTTCACCGAGTCTCAGCTTTGCCGGCAACCTGCTTGGGGCACGGTTTGTGTTTGCTGGCCCTTGGGAGCCCGTAGGCTTGTTTTTTGCCACTTGCTTGCCCTTACGTCTACACGCTGCAGTGCTTGCAGCACGGGCTATTTCCTTCTGCCATGCTTTCGCGCGACCTGCAGGCATTTTTGGCGGTTGCACCGCCCCAGCTGTTCTAGATGATACGCCTTGGTCCAAATGGTCCAGCCTTTGGTTGACCGTCTGAAGAGTATTGTCGAACCTTTCCAGGTAGCTTCTGATGGCGGGGTCAAGCTGCGAAGCTGCCGGGATATCCACCGCAGCATTTTGTGAAACTGGAAGTATCCTGGAAGGGGTATCCCCCTGGGTTAGGGGAACTCCCTCAGCGCGCTGGTTGGCTTGCTCAGGTTCAGATTGGCGGGCCATTTGTTGCTGTAGGACCAGTAGGTTGAAGATTCTCCTAATGAAGGATGGATACTAAATCAAGCCCTCCTTCTAGCGCCAAAACTGTTGATGCGTGATTTTGACACCAACTAATCGACACGTGCGTAACGTTGATTAGTCAAGAGATGCACGTGATTATGGATGAGATGTAGAGTAAATGCAACAATGAGAGCTTTTTAAAGTGGTTCGGATGCTAAGGTAGCAAATCCTACGTCCACTGATATTTTGTATTAGAATTGTGGGTCAGGTCGCAACAGCGGACTGACTTACAAATAATTAGGGAAAAGTAAATACAAAAGTACAATGATAAGAGAGAGAAAGCTAGTTCAGAGTGCAAGAAGGCCAAATCCCTTTAATGAAAAGATCTTTCCTTTTTATAGTGAGATGAGTGCAGATAACTATCATTAAATCCGTGGGTTGGTGCGAATGTCAGGACTAAATCCGGCTTTACGTCACATTGCCCACCTTCCAAGCTGATTTTACGCGATTTGGAGCAGGGAAATGGACACGTGGGAGCTCCACGGCGCCTTGCATGCCTGATGTGCGCTTACCGTTCTGACGGGAGCAAATCACCCCCATCACGTGATTTCCCACGTCAGCCCTTGATTTCCTAGGCATAACAATGAGCAACCAAGATAGTCCAACCTCGAACTCATAAAAGATGTATATAAACAAATGCAAGAATCAAATCTGACCATCATATTCTATAACCATCCTGGAATGCATCAGCTTTAATTAGTTGCAGAAAACTTGTTGTCTACTTCTCAGCAATATTTTCTCCAAACCAAGGAAGTCATCAATCTTGTCACTGGTAAATCTTACTTCTTGGATAGTTATTCGCTCATCTTGTTCTGCTATCAATCATAGCGTATTGATTAGTTAGATGCTTCTGTATTTATACAAAAATCATTCTATTGATTTTTTCAAATCTTCATTGCAGACTCTTTGTATGTCACTGAACCAATTTCTACGTCTGTCTATAACTCATTTTAATAATTTAATCATCTGCATGCAGAGTAACATTTCTACTCACCATGAAATAAAGGAAGGGAACGAGTGATGATCCTGACAGTGCTGAAAAATTGAAATGAGAAGGATATCAATATTATGGATAATGTACAAGATAAATCAAATAATTAATAAATGCTTAACAGCAGCCAAGACAAGTGCTGCAGGAAATAACAAACCACTGCAAGAGGGCATATATATGAATTTCAACCATAAAGCAAAAAGGTGCATGCTACCTTAAATCAACAACAAAACTTGTTTACAGTAATAATGAAGTTCATCAAAACCACAAAAAGCAAAAGTTATTTATAACAGATTGAAAGGCAGACTCGACATCCAAGAAGGAGATCACAATTTATTCATTTATTGATGGGAAGACATTAAGTTGAAAATAATTCACAGATGTAAGCTGGGGTTTAAATCTTCTAATAAAATATTTCCTGTGTTTCTAACTAAATAGAAATACCTTCAGTTAGCTTTTGTTGCTGAACCCCAGGGGAGCATGCCAACTTTTTCCCTTTAGTAGTTTAACAACCGAATGGGTGCAAAATTGTCAAACTATAATTAAAATGAGAACCACAAAAACTCCAGTTTAATTCACCCTCTTCATTATACTATTTGCAAGTACAGTGCTCCAATGGACAGAATTTCTCACTTCTGTTACAAACAAAAAGAAATGCCAACAGAACCGTAGTGCAAGAAAATGTAATGATAAAATCACCTTAATCTGATAATTTTTTCTATCTTCCGGTATATAATAAAATAATTTTCCCTTTCCCATAGACACTAAAAAATTCTGTTATCTGTAATGTTTTTGATACTGTTAACCGAAACTATTTGCATGCACCTCCATTTGCGTGTATGCAGAACCCTTCAAACCTAAAGAGGAACAACTAACAATAATGAAACCAATACTATTCTTCAAATTTGGCAACCTGCCTAAACTATATCATCCCAACTACGCAATTTGTGGAAACAAAGAGAAATTTAAGATGCTTGTAAGTATAACCTGTGATGAGATATGAAAACTTACAATTACAAACCGCAACAAACCACAAAGAAATGATTTCCCGAATGGGTAAACCTTGTTTTAATTCTTTGAGCTTATCAACCTTACAGCCAGAGCAGTTCTCATAATATTTCTTCTTCTTCAACAGTGTCTTTCTGCTCTTCTCCTCCGACATACTTTTATCAAGTCAGCACAAGACACTGCCTCAGATGTATGAAGTTGTAAAACAAAATCTGAAAAAGCACTCTGCACTTAGTTACATAATCAGCTCAAAAACTAATCATCCAATAGAAATTAATAATACATATGTAAAGGTACAACAGAATCTTAGATAGCACTCTCCACTTAGTTAAATAATGGGCTTGAAACGTAATCATCATAAAGAATATGTATGTCCATTCAATGGTAAAGCATCTCTTCAGTGATAAGTTGATGGTAAATTAGTGGGCGTTGATTCGAATGGGTAGTGACTTGTGAGCAATAATTTCCAAGAAGACAAATGTACCTTCAGTAGCCATGTGACATTTCCGTAATTCCCACGTGTCGGTACAAAAGCTTCCGTCACCCAGAGAAAAATAAACGCAAATTGGAATTTATTCGAATTGAAATTGAAAATTTGAAAGACATAGAAAGCCTCTTGAAATTGACATTAATAAATGGGATAGGAGAAGCCTGGATTTGGGAAATTTTTAAATTTAGGGTTTGTTTAAAACTTCAGGGAAGATGAGAGAAAAATAGCCGTTGTTAATGAAGAAATTTTGAAAATAATTTAATTAGAAAGGACTTCAACATTTTTTTCTACATATCTTATTTGTAATAATCAAATAATAAATACTCACAAATAAAATATATAAAATTAAAAAATAAATTAAATCTAAAATTGGTTTTTTAAAGCACATAATTTTAAGACTAATATCATTCACTAAATTAAATGGATCAAATAAAGTAGATTAATTTGTCTAATTAAAACGCACATGCATATTTCATCCGAAATGTATCATGAAATTAATACAAATTAACTTTGTCAAAACATTTGGTCCCTTCCATTAAAATGACAACCATGGTCCACGAATGACAAAAGGTTGTGTTTTAAAATCCGACCCGACCCGGTCTGTTGAACCAGTTCAATCGAGACTTGAGGCCTTCACTAGGCGGGTTTTCAAATTTGACTATCCATGGAAAACCCTAGAAATTAGGATGACGATCAGTGAACAATTGATTGCTGGGATGTTGGGGGGTTTTAAAGAGGAAGGGCCAGTGAGTTGAAAGGTGGCGATCAAGGTGATTTCCAGTGAGTGAAACAATCAGAAATCGCAAAAATCAATTGGCGAAAACAGTGAGCTTTTGCTGACTTGCCAATGATTGGCGCGATGAATAGGGGTGGGGTGAGATGGGTTTTGGTCAAGAGGCTTAGGGAAGAGTTTTCATGGTGATGGGATGTGTTGTCGACGCTAGAAATAGTCCCTATTTGGCATAGGTTGTCTACGCCAACTGTGTAATTTAGGGTGTTTTTGTAGGATTTCAAACCTGTAAGGACTAATGGAACTTTTAGGAGTGTTTTTACTGGATTTCAAACCTTTGGACATGCCGATGTCACCAGTTTGACATGTCAGTTAAACCCGTTCAATCGATCAACCTAGGACCGACCACTTTGTTGGGTTTCATCCCAGGTTGGGTTTTAAAACAAAGGAAAGAAGCCATTTAAGTAGAACAGGTCACATATAATATTTCATTATTAAAGGCAAAAGCTATGAAGTTTTCCATCACCAACGAAATATAAAGCACTTAATTTTGTGGCATTTGTTGCATAGCCTAAAGCAGAACACTCATGGCCAAGAGGGTGATTGACACTTTGTAGATGCAAAAAAAAAAAAAAAAAAAAAAATCTACCTTTATGGAAATAGGGTCTGATCCTGTGAGGTTGAGGCCACCAGCAATCCGCTGCACCTGTACACACGAGGAAACAAGCGTGAAGCAAACGGAAAATACCGAGGTGGTGTTTGCCGTAGGCACTCCGACGCTCAAGTTAGCAAGGTTGAATGAGGATAATTTAGTGAGGGTTAGGGAAAGAAAAGGTTACCAGGAGTGAGAACTACTGGGTTCGAAGGTGTAATGTATGTGTCTCTTGTGAGAGCTTTGGCTTCTGTTTAAATAACGATTGTAGGATCTTCAAGTCTTAGTAGGACTATGAGTCCTTGGAGGTTGAGAGGTTCAGTGAATAGGAAGGCTTTTAATTCCCTTGCCTTAGTAGGAGAGGGAGTCTTAGTTGGCCTAAGATATGGATCTTAGATGAGTTAGGATAGTAATGGATCCTTTTAGTAGAATCCGAATGGTACTGAAACAAGGAATATACGATCTTGGGGTCTAAATAAACCCTAGGTCCAATAGGTGATCTTGGATCAAAAGGCATGGGGCTAGACAAGCTGATGATAAGGCCCAAATGACTCGGGGCCTTCACTGATTGGCTTCAAGCAGTGAGCAACAAGGTAGATGTGGCGAGCGGACCTAATATACAAACTCTATTGTGAACCCAATCAGAATTAGGCCATGGCTCTAGGCTTTGTTGAAGGTGTCTTCATCTTTGAGCCTTTTGGGTCGAGGATATATTTTGGCCCTAACAGTTTGCCCCCCCTGTACCCCCCCCCCTCCCCCCCACTCTCTAAGTTAAGGAGCGCTTAGCTTAGAGAGTATGGGTTGTGTGAAGGTGTACATAGTTGTCCTTCGTGACTGACTGGTTGAATATGTGAATGTGTTGCTTCTGTGTTTGCGAGAACGAATAACATAACTTTTATTATAGGTGATGCATTCGGTACATCAGGTCGAGTGGGTGGAGGTGAAACACAATCATGCTTTCACTCGACTTATTTGACCGAGTGAGGGAGTGGAGTTGACCTTGATGGCCTGGCCCAGCGCATCAGATTGAGGGGAAGCATGAAAGAATCTGTTAGAGGTGTTCTCACTCGGTATGTCAAACCGAGTGGAAAGATATGCGAGACGTCCCATGAAGGTGTCCTCACTCGATGTATCGAGCCGAGTGAGAGGGTGTGCAAGCTATCCCATGAAGGTGTCCTCACTGGGTGTATCGAGCCGAGTAAGAGTATGTGCGAGCTTTCCCATGAAGGTGTCAGTACTCGACGTATTGCACTGAGTGGAATACGTTAGGGTCATTCTGGTGGTGGTGCCTTAGGCTGATTGGTTGAGTCTGAATGAGTAGATGTATGCGCACTCCCAAACAAGTGGCTAGTTCACTCGGCCAGATGACCGAGAGGGTAGAGGTTGTGTTTTGCTTGCTGCGTTTATCACAAGGCCGAAGAGCTAAGGTTAAATGGTCAGTACGTCCGATACTAACTCCATTCGGTCAGGCGAACCGAGTGAGTGGTTAGCACCTCCATGGTGTATGCATGACGTGGTGGCTGCAGACACTGAGTAGGTAACGTGAAGCTAAATAATCCATCTCTCGACATGTGTATGACTGAGATGTCTCTTCTGAATTTGGGCGGGAAAATGAAATCACATTGTTCGATGACCAATCGGAGGTTGCCACGTGTAAGCTTTGATAGCTTTCGTCGATAAATGTGTGGAGGCAACTGTTCGTTTCATTTTATTTCCCATTTCTCTCTTCTGTTTTCGTGTTCTCTCTCTGTTTCAATTTTTTCCACAGCAGTGAAAGATTTCAGGAACTTTTGCAATTTTTACGGTAAATACTTGCTTCCTTGTACTGTTTTTCATTTCTTTATGTCTTTTCCTTGTTTTTGCAGTCCTTTTGAAGGAATTTTGGGTGACGTTTGGTAGATTTTTTAGGGGAGTTTGAGAAGGAGGCGTTGTGTTTGTTTGAGTTGAACGGGGTAGGCAAACTGAATGATTTTGATTCTTGGGTTTGGCGTTTGGGAGATTTTGGGTGTTTAGGAAATATTTGGTGTCGTCAGCGTGTGGAGATTCTGGGTCTTCAGTGTTTTCTGGATTTTTTCTGTGTTTTCTAGGTTTATGGAGGTTAAAAGACGGAATCGATTTATGTAGGCTTCTCGTTCGACTCGTCTCAGTCTGCTTGACCGAGTCAAGTGAGGTGTTTTGAGTGAAGAGGTTTGGTTTTGGTAAAGGCTAAGTCACGTAGGTCCCCCAGTCTCCCAGGTCGAGTGGACAAGGGTTTGAACGGGGGGTCTTGAGGCAATAGGTATTTGGTCATCCAGATCGAGCCAAAAGTTTCTTAGAAGCAAAGAGTTAGCCTGATTTTAGAGCCAGTCAGTCGGTCACTCTAGGCGAGTGGGGCTTTTGGAACTGAGGATTTGACTTGGTATTAAAAACCAATCAGAGTCAGAGTCAAGCGACTTGAGTGGGGCAGAGATGGAAGTTAGGAATGAATACGAGAATGTTCCAACAATGGTAGTGATGCCAAAGGGTGGAAACGTCCCGGTCGACATACCGAAGGGGGTGAATGTGCCCACTCTTGGGCCGAGTGATGCCTCACAGAACCATGGTGATTCAGATGGGCAAGGGACGAGTGAGGAAGACTACGATGAAGCTAATGGTTCCGAAAGTTTGCCCTTCACTAGTAGTGGCTCCGAGGACAAGCCGAGTCGGCCCGGTAGCTGGATATTGAGTAAATACTATCCGCCTTTGCTGAAGGATAGTGATGTATGGCGAATCCAGACAATGTACCACATTCTAGAGTCCATCGAAATTAGGGTGCCAAAGTCGTACAAGAGGGTCGATTGGGAGGCAAAAGGTTGGGTGAGTGCCTACGAGAAATGGTTCCACGATGGGCTAAGGCTTCCTATTCCCCATCTTGTCTGGGAGGTCTTGAACCATTTTATGATTGCGTTGACTCAGATTATGCCAAATGGGTGGAGATTGTTGATGGCTCTAAAAGACCTCTATGTGCGAAATTAGGTGATGTTTGAGCTGCACGAGTTGCTATACTCATATTTTCTTAAGCAAAATGACAAGGATAAGTGTCGGTATCTGATCAATCTCAGGCACGATCACGCTCATCTCATGACCGACCTCCGATCGAGTGATAAAAACTAAGGAACACTTCTTCTTCATGAGGGGTGAAGCGGTCTTTAGGGAGAGAGGCCAGGGTGAGATCCCGTATACCTGGTGAGCGATTGGTGAGGAACTTAGTCTTTACTCATGCTTTGATTACTAAAGTCTTATTTTGTTTCTCCTTTGCAGATCTTGAATTCAATCGTGCCAGGTAGAGTAGAGACAGCTTGGACGTGTAGACTAGAAAAGTTCTT